CAGCACAAAAGAAAATTTTTGCTGCACAAACGTAGCACAAACTGACACCAATTTTGTTAGATTCGAAGAAGATGGGCTGCCAGCTTCTCTCAGGTGAGGAAATGGCTGCAGCTTTTGGGAAGAATCTGATCTCCAAACAGCAACAATCCAATTCACTGAAGTTTTTGCTTTCTAATGTTTAAATGAAAGATTGATCAAGTTTTATTTTTTCTGCACTTCTGTTAGTTTTATTTGCTATATATAAAATCTGAAAGTGCATTTCCAACTTTTGATCGTCAATATTATCTTAGGTGTGCAGAAAACATGTGTGGACTTAGTTAGCATCCAAAATGAGAGCTTTGGAAAAAATCAAGACGTCATTAAAACGTCAGGGCTCTGATGACGACATCAGATGCCGAAAGCGTCGCAACAAATGCAAAACCAGTTAATAGACTGGAAACAGACGAGGAGTTAAAATGGGAAACAAAGCAACTCAACACCAGAAGTGTTGTTGTGAAAATAAAACTGAAAACAAAACTCCACAAAATGCTAGCTGATAACAGCTAAACTGCCATTTTTATTTAGCGTGACAATAATCTGCTTTCTGATTCTTTAAAAACTTTTACTCAGGCCAAGTTCCACAAAAACACATTTCTATTGTCAAACATTTTCTGATGGTTTGTTAGCAGCTTTAGATTGCTAAAATTCTGAGAGTTGCTATTTTATGCTAGCTGTGCTAAGTGGCCTTTTTTTAAACACGTCATAATTTAAGCCCATTACCTTCAATAATCCAAAAATTACATTCAAAGATTTACTAATAGCTGCCGTAAATAATGTCTAATGTCCAGAAGCTAGTGCCAAAAGCTAATAGCAGTTAGCTGCCATTTTGGTTGTTAGGGAGACACTCATCTGTTTTCCAACTCTGTAGCCAGTTTCATGCTGCTGGCTGGACATTTGGTTTTAGTTTTCTGAAAAACTAATATTTAAATTTAGATTATATTTAATCATTTTCTCCTGGTTAGCTAGCAGGCCTACGACGCTAATGTTGGTTGGCTAGAATAAAAAGTAACAAGCTACCATTGCTAACAATTAGTTTTTTACTTTTATGATACTGTTATAAACAAGTATTAAATCCCAATAAATAATAATAAAAAACATATTTGTTATGGTTTCTTTGAGAATGCTAATGTTTGTTAGCTAGTGCCATTGCTAGCTGCTTTTTTCTGTTCACTAAATCAGAGTTTTTGCTTAGATCTAGTGATTACATTAAACAAATATTTATGTTTTAAAATTAGGTGATAGTCAAATGTTAGCTTAAAAAACAGCTGCAAACCATTAGCTTCCAGAAGCCCATTAATTTACCTGATTTTGATCTTTATCATTAAACTCCTTGACAAATTGACAGAACTGTTTTGATGCATGTTTAAAACTTTGGAGTAATTCTTTTTTTTTTTTTTATCTTACGTGACTGAAATATAAATTGGCTGCTGTTATGTTGTGCACCTGTAAATCTGCTGAATCCAAGGCTAACAAGTGTTGCTGTTAGATTATAAATCTACAAGGAGACAGCAACAACGGGCGAGCGACTGCACAAATGTTGAATCCATCCGTCAGCCTGACCTCCACCCCGGCTTTCCGCTCCGTTGCATACAGAACACTCTACCTCCTGCGCTGGTGCTGGATGTTCACACTGGACAGGCCGTATCGCGTCTAAAACGCAACAATAAAGCAGGAATCTACCAATAATGATGCTAACTGGAACAGAACGATGGAGAAAATAACTTTATGCCAAGCATTAATTTACAATGGGAGTCGGTGGAAAATGAAAGCACTTCAAGAATTAAAGCCACAATTTGTCACTGTCTATGACTCAGTGATGGGAAACACATAATTCTCCTTACATTTTGTCATGTTATCATCTATGAGCTAAATCAGGCTAATTAAAATGGTTTGGGTCATTTTTGATCCATTTATTTACAGGATAAATTGGAAAGTTGGTGGAAATGTTGTGGATGTGCATTCTCAGGTTTTTCTGACTGTATTTAAGCAGAATGGTTTTTTTTTCTGTTGTTGCTTTCAGCAGTGGCGACCTTTAGAGGGGGGCTCAGAGGGACCATGGCCCCCTCCTAAAAAATATTGGTGCTAAAAAATTGTTAAAAAATACATTTTCATCAAGCAAAACCCAATAAATAAATGCATATGATTTTAAACAAAATTAAGAGTTTATTAAAAGAAAGACATTTTATATATTTAGCCACCTGTACTTACATTTTCTTGGAGCCCCACTGCTTCTTTTACTAACATTTTCAGTCAGTTACTGTTATCAAAGACTGATTCTGATTTAAAACCTTGTTGTTTGTTATTGTTTTAATTTTTATCAGCCCTTTAAACGCGGGATGAACCTTAGGGTCATTAAATGTGAATGATTGAATGCAACATGCTAATTTTCCTTGCAGGTGAGGATGCCGTGTTTTCTGCGTGTTTTTATATGTGCTGCCATGTTTGAGTGAAGTCACCCAAACTGGGTCTATTTTTGTAAGCTTAGCTGCATTTTCTGCTTTTTGCCTTCATTTATTTTTCTGCTTTTGTTTGTAAACAAAAATAAACATGACTAGAAATGTGTCTTTGACAAAAAAGATTGTTTCAATCTTGCTGAAAAAGGGAAATATAATTTTGCAACATAATTATATTTTCAAACATATTTGTGTTTCAGTAGAATGTATTTTTTTGCATTTTGGATGAAACAGCAGCTGCATCAAATCATTATGTCATTCAGATTAACTATACAGTAGAGGTACAATTAGACATCACACAAACACTGTAGTTTAAAAATGTTTCAATTCATCAAATACTTGAAATAAACTATATCTACTCTGTATTAATCATTTAATCACTCAATAAACTCAAACATAAGTTTGTTCAGCTTCTGTGTTTCTATAATTTCTCTTTTCTTAGATTTTTATGTCGGTAAAACGACTTTTTAAAAGTTGGCGAAGGTTATTCTGGAGATCTGTTGGAGAAGAGATTCAGAGAATGTGACTCTGGTGGCCGAAGTGGCAGGAAGGTGAAACTCTGAGGACCTGGAGGGAGTTTTACACCCTGAAAGTCGCAGAGGAAGAAAAACCAGCTGAAGCACAGAGAGGACAAGAAATAGAGACAGAAAGAAATAAAGACAGCAACAAAAAACAGAATAAAAGATGATTTTTTTTGTCCTCCAGCCCAGTTGGACTCGGCGTCCTGCGTCTGTCCGACCAGAGGACAGATCAGAGGACGCAGGACGTCATCCTGGACGTTTGTCTCTTTATCAGCCGCAGCAACGATTCCTCCACGTTTCTCAACCTTTAGTCTTCCAGATGGACGGACGGCGTCCATGTGGCGCCAAATCAGGACATTCCTGGGTCCAAAGTCCCTTCAGGGGACCCCAAACCGCAGCTTTGACCTCACCTGTCATCAGTTCAATGCAGACCTTCGTCATCCGCTCCTCTTCATCACCGTCTGATCAGCCGCTTTTAAAAATCTCAACTGTTCAATAAAACTTTCTATGTTAAAAAAACATCCAGATTATCGTTCCCACTTCTTGTAATCTGGGAATATTTCTGGGATCAGAATCTGGGTCAGATTGGACAGAGGTCACATGGTGCATGCTGGGTCACCTGACCTCTGACCCTCTCATCTCTGCTCTTGCAAAACAATATGAGGAGAAACGTCTGGATTTCAAATCAGATCAAGATGGAAAAAAATAAAGTAAAATTCAGGAAATGTTTCAAAAGCAAAACAAATAAATCACCTCAAAAATCACCTGCATCTTTAACAAACTATTTACCAACATTTAATTAAACAAAAATACTCATTTATTTTTACTGACAATGTTTTTGATTGAAATGACCTTTGACCCCAAAGGAAAACCAGGTTGTTTTAATCAGGATGTTGAAAATGTAAATGAATCCAATAAAACATCTTTTACTTAAAGGAAGAATAATAAATAAATAACTTAGAAACCAATTTTTAAATCAATATACAAAATGATCCTAATAAATCTATAAGATCTGCTGAAACTGAATGTTTTCTGTTCATTTTCTGAAACTTTTTCTCTCATTTTGATGAAACTTTGAGGCGAGAAACAGAAACTGTGAGACCCAGCCAGAGCTGAGGTCTGGACTGGTTCTACTGGTTCTGCTGGTTCTGCTGGTTCTACTGGTTCTGCTGGTTCTGGGTGTGTTCAGTATCTGAATGCTGCGGGTCGAATTCACACCGCCTTCAATTTGAATAACTTTTTAAAAGTATTCATCTAAGAATTTTAATACCTCCTGAAGTTGACATTTCCAGTAAATATGTTGAATAATTAAAATGTTTAGCACTAATTTTGCAAGCAGTGAATTTATATAATTTTTAAACTGATATATTCATGAAGTTCACATATTCCAATAATATTTGCCAAATATGTTGCAAACTGCAATTTTTGCATAATTAAATATGTAAAAATTTACAAATATAATGATGCAGATATTCATCTGAGGAAAAGGAAAAAGAGGAGCAGATTTTAGGACAAACAGATTTAAACTGAACAGATTCCTTAACTGAACAGATTCCCCAAACTGAACAGATTCCTTAACTGAACAGATTCCTTAACTGAACAACTTTATTCTTGTAAAATTCTGACTTTCTTCTGTTAATGTTATTTATTGTAGTTTCTTATCGTGGCAGTAACTCCATCATAACGACCCACTCTGTGAAAATGAACACAAATTGTGTTAAATTGGCCCCACAGTGGAAAGTCAGGCTGTAAAATGCTGCTTCTCTTCAGTTCGCTGATTGGTCGGACCCGCGTTTGGCCACGCCCCCCACCTCTCCCTCCTGGGCTCTGATTGGTCCGCGGAGCCGCCATTCCAGTTGCGCCTCCCCGGAGCGGCGGCCCGGTCCGTCCCCCGCCTCCTCCCGCGCAGCAGGGTGGGTTGAGCCGGGTAGGGACCGCGGACAGCTCCGCTCCGAGGAGCAGAGCAGCACCGGAGGAGGAGAGGGCTGGATATGGGGGAGCCGCCGCACAGGCCCGTCTGATCCACAGAAACACACAAAGAGCTGGAGCCGCCGGAGGAGGAGGAGGAGGGAACCGGTTCTGACCCATCCCGGAGCAGCAGGAGACACGATTCCGCTCGACCCAATGGACTGAGAGGACAGATGAATGAAGACTGCCTACACTAACGCCTATCGATGCCTGGCCAAGGACCTGGACGCGTACGCCATGAACCCGGACATGACAATGGACGGCCTGGGCAGCCTCCACGGCGGGGTGGCCCTGACGCGGAGCTGATGAGCGGCGGCTCCTCGGGCCTCCGGATCCACCAGGACCTGGCGCCGCGGCCGGCCATGGTGTCCGGGATGATCCTGGAGGGCAGCGGGGAGTACCGGCCGGAGCTGTCGCTGCCGCTGCACCACGCATGAGCGTCCCGTGCGACGCCGCGTCCCCCGGGATGAGCGGCACCTACACCACCCTGACCCCGCTGCAGCCGCTGCCGCCCATCTCCACCGTGTCCGACAAGTTCCACCACCATCACCACCACCACCACCACCAGCGGCTGCCCGGGAACGTCAGCGGCAGCTTCACCCTGATGCGGGACGAGCGCGGGCTGCCGGGGATGAACAACATCTACAGCCCGTACAAGGACCACATGTCCGGGATGGGTCAGAGCCTGTCCCCGGTGCTGGGCAACGGCCTGGGCTCCATCCACAGCGCCCAGCAGGGGCTCCACAACTACGGCTCCAGCTCGCACGCAACCCACGACAAGATGCTGAACTTCGACCACCAGCACCGAGGCCTCGGTGGCCCGCCGGCCGGGATGATGCCGCACCTGAACGGCATGCACCACCCGGGCCACCCCCACCCGCACCTCCAGTCGCCGTCGCACGGGCCGGTGTTGGCGTCCACGCGGGAGCGGCCGCCCTCCTCCTCGGGGACGGCGGGGGGCGGCGGGTCGGGGCAGCTGGAGGAGATCAACACCAAGGAGGTGGCGCAGAGGATCACCGCGGAGCTGAAGCGGTACAGCATCCCGCAGGCCATCTTCGCCCAGCGGGTGCTGTGCCGCTCCCAGGGGACGCTGTCCGACCTGCTGCGGAACCCCAAGCCCTGGAGTAAACTAAAGTCCGGCCGGGAGACCTTCCGGAGGATGTGGAAGTGGCTGCAGGAGCCCGAGTTCCAGCGGATGTCGGCGCTCAGGTTGGCAGGTAGGAACCCGGAGAAACCCGGAGGAACCCGGAGAAACCCGGAGAAACCCGGAGAACATGGAGTAGAAGAGCTGGAGCCTCCAGCCTCCAGCCCGGGGGAGGCTGGAGGCTCTGGATCTGAGAACAGGGGCGTCCGAAGTCAATTGGTGGCCCCAGGATTGATTTAGTTATCCTGCCCCCCTGACTTCAGTTAACAGAAAATATACATTTGTTAATTAACTTTTTCAATTCACTTTTTTCCAATTTTAATCAGCATAAAAATGATTATTGATGAATTGTCACCTTGTTGAAATAATGGCCCGAGTTATTTTTCATCAGGAATAATTTTTTTGGCATCGTTTGACAAAAAAGAGGAATTAATTAGTTATTTAATTTACATAATTTTGCGAAAATCAACTCTGGCTAAAAAAATCCCCAAATAAAACAAAACAGAGTTATTGACAAAAAAGTTTTTTATTTATTGTTCAACTCATCTTCTGGCAAAAAATAGTTATTTTTTTTTTTTACTTCTTTTCTTTTTCTTCTTTTTTGTTACTAAAATTCCTTCAGGCTGACAAACAAACTTTTTTATTTGGCAAAAAAGTTTTTTGTTTTTTTTAGTTGTTGCTTGAAACATCTTTTGGCTGCCGCAAAAAAATCACTTATTTGTAAAAAAAAGTTTTTTTATTTGTGTGAATCACGTTTTATCAAATAATTACTTTTCCCAGTATTTCAGCAGGGTGTTAAATACGAAACAAATATTTGTCTTTTATAGAAAGAATAACTTCGGTCCAGAGCCTAATTTGCTGCATCCAAATCAGATTTATTTCATTTTTAAGTAAAAATAAATTCTTGGCTAAAAGTAACAAACGTTTTGAAAGAAAGACAGAAATCCAGAAAATAAATGTGTTCAATTGAATATTTCAAATTTGCAAAATCCTATTTTAGTTTTGTTTCTACAGTCAATAAAAATCCATTTTCTTTACCAAAAAAATCTTTATTTGCTGCATTTTAATTTTATTGACTCAATACTTTTGGCTCATCTAACAAAAAGTTTGTACACCCTGCTTCAGAATAAAAATAATTATTTGGAATCAGGTCTAGTTAAAAATATTAAAAAGACGATTTAATGTTAGATTTTCTGATTTATTGTTATTGATTTCCTGGTTGGGAGGAAACGTAGAAAATTCCCACACTGAGCGGCTTTGTTTTGGTTTCCTCTGCCCTCCTCGTCTGAGTGGATGATTATTCGGGATCACTGGTGTTTTGATTACCATTATTGATCAATAACAAACCCGGATCGATAGGAAATGACAAGGTGGTGGGATTCCCTCCATCAGCCCTCTCTTCCCGCTCTGACGCTCCAGGTTTCCTCCTCCCTGCGAGCCGAAAACAGAAAAATAATAAAATTTACCTCCAATATTCAGTTAAATGAATGAAATGAAAACAAATGAAGAATTAAAATGAGGAGGACTGTTGTGTTAATGAAATGTGTTCAGTTTTATGAGCTGGAGGAATATTTGCTGTTGGATTTGCTGATTGTGAGGATGTGTTGGTGGGTCTGCTGCCCCCTCTAGTGAGGAAAACCCGGTTTGAGTCCAGTCCTCTATTGTCTGCAGAACCTCTCCGGCTCCGGCTGTTCGCTGTATTGATTGATTTGTGGGCAGATTGGAGCAAAACTGGAGCATTTCTGTTTGTTTCGTCTCATTCGGTGGCTCTAACCTCATTATTATTTATTATTATTATTATTATTATTATTATTATTAATGTGAAAACGCTCTGGTTGTTGTCATATTTTAGACTTTTATTTATGCCTAAAATGCCTCATTATATTGTTTTAAAAAATACAGAATATTATTTGGTTATTTTTCTTTTTTATTTAGCTCTAAATCAATTAATTTACATTTTTGTTTTACGAACTGATTTTAGCAGCTTTCTTCAGGAGTAAAATTATTGTGACATTATATAAACTTTAATTTAAAAAAATCTGCATTTATTATTCTAATGTATTTCAGATTTGTTGAGGAAGAAAATGTGTTTGTATTTTGACTAAACACGTATTTCAAAACATTATGGCTAAATCTGAATAAAATGAAAATAAGCTTCTTTATAAAATACATAATTCAATAATTTCAGCTGCTGCAGCGTAAAAACTTTACATAAAATACATTCTGCTCTGCTTTACGCTTCTTTCACGTGAATTATTAATTTCAGGGTTTAATTATAATATTTTTGTGTTGCAACCTGTTTTTGTTTTGGGTCGTTTCACAATCACAGCCTGAACTTTGGGATGTTTGGCAACATGTGCAGCGAATCACAGTCGTCCTTCTTTATCTCTGTTGGCCTCAGCAGCATTTTATCTGCTCAGTTCATGTCAATATTTCCTCAGACTGTCGAGCTCAACTCGTTATTTTCTTCTTTTGACAAACAGTCCAGTTCTGAGGAGGAAAGAATCTGAAAAATAATGAATTTTAGCTAAAAATAGAGCTTAATTACAAAACAAGTGATTTTAAAAACATTTTATGTTTTATGTTTAGAATGTAAATATATCAGGTTTTAAATGTTCCTTAAATGTTTTCTTTATTCCTCTTTAAAATAAACAAAAGCTTAAATATCAAATGTGACCAATATAAATGTAATGAATTAAATCAGTAAAATTAGCCTAATAATTATTTGATTGCGTAACAGTTTGTGAAAAAATACCTAATAGTTGTAAATTACAGCAAATTTGCATGAAAAGCTCAGTAAATATTTTATAATTTGCTAATTAAAGCTTCTGATTGTTGAGAAAATTAAATTTTTCTCTTTTATTTTGAAGTATTTTCAACTATTCACCTGCATCTTTGCTACATAAATGCTGTAGAAATAGAAACATTTCTGTTTAAATCTGTCTTTTTAAAATAGGAGTAAAGTCAATGTTTTCCCAAAATTACGTCTAATTTTACAGTTTGCTGGAATTATGATCATATCTGATCACGTGAAATTTAAAATGTCTGCCCGTATTGTTATGTAATGTATGACATTTCTCCAGAAGGGAAACTAACTGTTGGTTTATTACTGTATCAGTTGCTGCTGCTCTTTAAGAATGCATCAGAAATTAGTGCTGAAGTTTTCCCGGTTCTGATAAGTGGGCCGATGACCCGGATCAGATTATCTCTGCAGAATCTGACTGTGATTTCATTAAGGCGGTTCTTTGATTTTCCAGACAGCTGCTTCATCAGGCAGGTTCACAGGAAATGACAGGAGCGAAGGAGCGGGAGGCGGAGGGAGGCTGCAGCCGCCTCCCGTCCGGCCGGGTTGTAAAATGTGCTGGAACCGATCAGTTGGAGTCATTTGCTCACTTCAAGGTTCTTCTCCTCACTGAGAACAGATTCTCTTCACAAGATTTAGAAACTAATAAATCGTCTTTTGCAGCTGAAATGCTCTTTAACCTTCAAGCTAATCTTGTCTAAACCAGAAAGTTACAGAAAAACAGAAACTGACTCATCGGACTCTGACTGATGTTAGCATAAAGCGTTTGAAAACCAAAATTTGTCTTTAGCTGAACAATTAAATTCCTTTAACATGTCAGGAAACAGGAAGAGTTAAACTTCTGAAAATCAAAATTATTTTGCTAGCAATACAGATCTGTAGCTCCAGAGCTAACAAGGTTAGCATCTAGATATATTTAGCTAAGATGACCAATAAAACTGATATGAAGAACTGAACTTTCAAAACTATATTCAGGACAACCATCGATCATAAACTTTCTCGGTAAAAATAAATAGCAGCCAACATGACATAACTGTTCATCCAAAACAAAGAGTGGAACAGTCCAAACCTTTCAGCGAATGTGGAAACATCCAAACGATTTTAGCTAACGGAACGTCTGAAACAGTTTCAAATGCTAATAATTAATAATGTGAACAATAATGAATAATGTGAACAAACTCCAATAATAACAATTAAAACTCCAAGCTAACCCACTTAATATCATAGTTGTTCTGCAAACCAACTTTCCAAACTCTTTGGCTAAACTGTAAAGGTTGACATCTGTCTCTGTTTTGCTGACACAAATAAACACCCAAAAATATTTAGCTAACAGATAAACACCCATTACTTTTCTACTAACATAAATAATTTAATATCTGAAAGTCTTTTTCTAAAAGTATACAGTAGATAACATCCAGAACTGTTTTTCTAAAATAACCAACTGAATCTCAAAAACTCTTTAGCTAACACAAAGAATGAAACATTAAAACTGTTTTGCTAATATAATCTAATAAATACGTAAAGGCTTCTAGCTAATAATCAGTGGTTGCTAACAACCACTAGCTAATAATCAGTGGTTGCTAACAGTGATAACCAGCTAATTTGAACCTTTCAGTTGATTCAAACAATAGTTGACAACAATTACAGAATGAATAAAACGTCTTCACTAAGAAAAATAACTGAATATGAAAGCTAATGAAGTTAGATGTTTGCTCCAAACACTCACCCCTAACCCCAACCCAACCCCAACCCAACCCCAACCCTAACCCCAACCCCAACCCTAACCCCAACCCCAACCCTAACCCAACCCCAACCCTAACCCCAACCCCAACCCCAACCCTAACCCCAACCCTAACCCGTCTCTACTAAAATGAGACGTAAAAGATTCAAAACTGTTGAGCCAAAATAAACCTTTATTGTTTAATAAACAGAAGCCATCATTAACACCTGAACATTGAAATGTTATGCTAACATGAACGGCTAAAGTTCAACATTTCAGTAATGTTTATTACCAATAATGGAATTTATCCTAGTTATAATAAGTCGAGTATTTATGACTGACTCCAGTTGTTTTGCCAATCAGTTTTTAAAATAATGTAATTCTATGTTAAAAGTGTTTAAACAATAGTTCTCTGTCATTTTCAACATTTTAAAAATATGCACGTTTGTTTTCATCTTTAATTCTGTAAAAATATCAAATTAAGCTCCTTCAGCCTCACAGGTATTTTTTACAGTGACTGTCAGAACAAAGGGAGCAATTCTTACATCAG